AGTCTCTTTTTATAAGTTATAGTATTCTATAGCATCACACGCACTAAAACACTCATCTAATATCAAAGTATCAGTATCATACAGACTTTGCTTTCTGCCCATAATTTAGATAGCAATATCAAAACAGTAACACATCTTGTTATTTGAATATTTCAAAAGATGAATATATTATAGAAATTATTATAAAAGAAATAATCTTTTAGAATTTATAAAATAAGATCATCTATCCAAATTAATATACTATAACTACATAGAAATCTGCAGCCTTAAATGAATGGATGTATGTGGGGTATGTGTGTGTGTGTGTGTGTGTGTGTGTGTGTGTGTGTGTGTGTGTATGTATATACATATATATATGTAAGACTGAAACATAATAAGCTAAACATTTAACTTAAAATGTTAGGTAAAAACAACAGAATACATTCAGATAAAATTTCACAAAGGTAATAGCAAGAATAGGACAAAATATTGAATTAAAAAAGTACATAATGGTGATCCACAAACCGTAAAACTAGTTGTTTGAAAATATTAATAAATTAACAAACTTGTAGCAAAACTGAAGAAGGGAAAAATATATAAGTAAATTAACATTAGAAATACACAAGAGGACAAAATAACACGTAAATGGCAGTGTTGCTTTTGAAGCATCGAGAATGAACAATTAAAGGCAAATAAATTAGAAATCTGAATAAACTTATAACCATTACTATTTATTTGAAAATATTAGTAAAATGAAGTGAACATATACATTAAGTTAAAATGATGCATCCCCCTCTCCCAACATACATATAATACATACACAAATAGTTTTGTATATAAATGCTAGCACTCCTTTGTATAATGGTTAATCCTATGCCACATAAACTGTTACAGAATCTAGCAAAAAAAGCAGAAATCCCTAAATATTTGTGAGGTTGTATAATCCAGATAACAAAATGAGAGAAAAACAAATGAGATAAATTGCCAATTTCTCAAAAATATAAATACAAATGCACTAAGATTATTAGTAACCAAATACAGAAAATATATCATGACCAAGTAGAGTTTATTCCAGGAAGACACACATTTTTTAATATCATAAAGTGAAAAGCCTTACAATTATCTTGAAAGATGATTCCACATCTATTTATGATAAAATCTCTTAGCAAAGTAGAACAGGAAGTGATCTTCCATAATCTCATAAAGAAAATTCTCCAGACCACTGTAGAAAACATATGTATTTTTTAAAATAAAATCTCAGAAACATCCTTTTTAACATGAAGAATGCAAAAGACTGTTGATACCATTGCCTGCATTCTATAGTGCACTGACGGCCCTAGACAAGATAATAAAAGCAGTAAGTAGGTAAGTAGAAGCTATAAAGATTTGAAAGGAATAAATATTTTTTTATTGCTCTGTCACTGTCTACACTGAAGCTAAAAAAAATTAAAATCCTGTAGATAAATTACTAGAAACTATTGGAGATTAACAAGAAGATTCATAAACCATATAGAATAGTGTGCTTATACACAATAGAACAAATTATAAATATTATGGATTGTTAAAGGAGCAGGGAAACTACTAAAAATCATTAAATAGTTGTGCAAAATTTATGAAGAAAAACAAAATTTTATTAAAAAATGTAAAAGCAACTGAAATAAACTGGAAAGTATACCATGTTCATGGAGAAAAGACAGTATAATTTCCTCAAATAAACCCATTAATTTAATACAATCCTAATGTAATCCTGAAATGTCTTTTAAATAATACATGAATTAAAAAGTTCATATGAAAATAGTCCATAAATACCTCTAAAATTGAATAATAATAATTATATGATTATAAAGATGGTGGTGATAGGTGACACATATAACATCATAAAATTATATTAATTTAAACAATATGGCACTGATTAAAGTGAAATGTAATAATAGGTACTAAAAAGTCATGGATAAATTAGATCTCATTTATGTGATATCTTCTCCATTAATACTTTATCAAGAAGAAAAGGAAGAATTATTCAATCAATTATTAGAGAAGAGTTGTCTATCCATAAGATAGAGGTGAAATTGAAAGCCTAGTTCATAGTGTATTCTGACTGAAATAAAGACAAATTTGAAAGTTCCATTTTAAAATCTTGAACAATTTCATAACATCAGAATAAGAAAATATTTCTTAAGTAAAACAAAAGAAATAAACATGAACCCCTCCACAAATATTCAAGAGATTAATGATAAATTTGACCATATTGATATTTTTAAAGAGCAATATGTTAAAAAAGTACCTGTAATACATATAATTAATTGGGAAATAATACTGAAATTATCCTCACAAAAATACTCAAATTATAAAGAACTCAAAGGAAAATGGTCAAAGAATCTGAATAAGAAATTATAAATATACATATAAAAATTGCTGTACCTCAGTAGTAATCAGGGAAATACAAATTAAAACAATAATGACTCTTATATTCATCAGATTGTCAATTAAAAAAAATCTAGAGAACAATTTCTCCATACCTAGGAAAGTTGAAGATACATATTACAATCCAGAAATTCTACTTTTATTTATCTTTCTGGAGAAAATATGGCGTATGTATAAAAATGTTCTCTGCCACACTGAAATGTTGCAATGTGGAAACAACCTCACTAATCTTCAGTAATAGAATTGGAAAATAAGCTATTCTATTTAGCAGTTAAGATGAATGATCCAGATCTTCTCTTACTTTCATGGATAATTATGGGCAATATAAGGCCAAGAGAAAAAAAGAAGATGGGTGAAATAATTTGTGTAAAATATCAAAACTTATAAAAGGATATGTTTTGTGCCTATGCTCATTTCTACCTATAACTATATCAATCTATCCATCTGCTTATCTATCAATGTATCTATATATATATATATAATAAAACATTTGAAATGATTGGCTTTAACAAAATCTGTAAGGTTGTATTTATTTTATTATTGGATAAGAGTACTGATAAAGGAAATATAGTAAAATAACATGTTGAAACTAGACGTGAATCATCATGGTATGTCCTATTATTTTTATTTTATATATATGAGGAATATCTTTTTAAAAATGGAGTCTTAGTATAAGAGAGTATCGTCTGAATACTTGGGTTTGAGTCCCAATTCTGCCCCTAGGTGCTTCATTCAATAAAAGATTATAGAACCCATTACACTTAGTAGTTTCAAGAATCTGAATGAGAATTAGTGCATATATATGAAAATGACTATTATAAATTGTAAGGCATTGTATTAGTTTAAGGTAATCTTCCAAGCAATATATTGCAAATTTGTGTATATGTGTATATTGTGTATGCATGTTTGTATACATTGTAAGTTTTTCTCATTGCTGAATTAGAAAAGAAAAATTAATATTGAATCTTAGTAAACAGAAGATTCTTCATCTACATTTAACTTAAAAAAGAAGCTGGAAAATTTTTAAAAAACAAACAATTGTAAGGTAATGACTCCCTTATCTACAGTTCACTATCTGGACTATTTGGAATAAACCTAGAATAAGGAATTAAATAAGCATGAAAAATAAACATATGAGTCCAACTATATGATGTTCTAGAAAAGGCAAAAACATGGAAGACTTTTAAAAGATCAGTGGTTGCCAGAGAAGGAGGTAAGTATGAATAAGTAGAACACAAGAGACTTTTAGGGCAATTGAATTATTCTTTATGATACTCTAATTCTGGATACATGAATTATGTATTTGTCAAAACAATAGAATATACAACACAAAGAGTGAACCCTAAGGTAAACTATGGATTTTCATTAATAATAGTGCATGAATATTGGCTCAACAATGGTAGCAAATATGTCACCTGATGCAAAAGGAATGTTAGTAATAGGGCCTATGTGTAAAAGTTCAAAGTTTCTATAAGGCTGAAACTTCTCTAAAAAACAAAATATATTAATTTACAACAAAAATGCATAGCACCTAAATTAAAACCACAACACGCAAGGCTTTATGCAGATCTCCTATCCTCATATCTGAGGCACTCAGGTATTCTCTTGGGACCTCTTTACTCTTGTTTTAGTTATAATTATAATAGATTGAGCATAGTGATTTTCCATTTAAATTATTGGAAAGGATGCATTCAAGGAAAGAAATAGCTTATTTATCACAGCAATTTTCATCTAGCAGTAAAAAATACATTGGAAGTCTGTTACTATAGTGTGGCTACTTTGGATTAGCTGCTTTCTAACTGCCAACACTCCACCACACCCCAACCCTACCATCTGGCTACCCGTGAACCTCCCCTTGGGACTGCCTCCCAGATTTCCCAGGAATCACCAAAGACAGGATTAACATGTGTCACTAGCAAAGGCCTCCAAAGACCACTTCAGGGCTGTGACAGAGTTCCTGATTCGTATCTTATTTGTTCTCAAAATATTTGAATACCAAGCATGGACAGAACTCAAAGAAGCAGAGCAATTGGTGGAGATTTAGAATAGAGGTGAGAGATCTACACACACAGGTGGAAATGAAGACTCCAAATGTGAATATAGGTATAGCTTTAATAATTTTTATTCTTTTAATTTGTGTAATACTTATTAATTTTCCAAGTGATTATGTAATAATGAGTCATACAGGAAAGATTAAATTGTCCTCCACATGTTCTTTTCTTGAAGCTAGAAAAATACTTAAAAAATTCTTTGGAAATATTTTTGTCTGATTTTTTCCCTCCTTTTTTTAAATATGAGTTGCCACATCTCCCTGAGGTCTTCTGTGTGCTCTCATGTAGCTCTGAATGGACAGTTTAGAATTGCCTATTTATGGCTCTGCAGTTTTATGAGACTAGCAATTGAATCTTAGTCATCATTTCATAATGAGCACCTAAAATAGTCCACACAAAATATTGGATAAATATTTTCCAAAGAGTGTAACTTTGGTTATCTTGAAAAATTCAATTGTTTGGAATTCTTTTGCTGATTATATTTGATAAATAAATTTTAACATATAAGAGAAGAATATAAACGAGTATCTTAAATTTTTTTTTCAGAAAAAAGGGTTATCAACTTGCAAGTTCAGACAATTACAAAATTCAAAACAGTTACTAATGTTGTTGGATATTTAAAGGGCTTGATATCTCCAGGTAAGTAAGGCTAAGTATTTACAATCTGTACTTTTTGTGAGACATCACAAGGAAATGCTCTGTAACAATCTAATAGCATAGCTAAATGTCCTATGTTAGATGTAACCAGAAGTTTATGCCACTCTAAGTGTGGGTCAGTATCAAACCAAGTAGGTCTTTATTCTCTTTCCTACCATATTGCTTCAAAAAACAAATCATGATAGAGAGCTAAGGGGGGCAAAAACATGGGAGAGAAAAAACAGCTTAGATTTGTTGAACTGGCTTGTGCCTGGTGAAGAAAAGCTACAAAGCCAATGTTTTTATTTTTATTTTATTCACTATAACAACACTGATATTCTTGTTTTTATTAAGAAAAAGCTTTTAAGAAGAAAATATTTTAGTGTTAATAGCGTGTTTTTTTAAAAATGAAGGGTTTTGTCTCCAAATCTACTTTCAATATTAATCTATGTTCTGTTTCTGGCCCTTGGTCCTCTGACAATTATGCCTAATGGCATTGGGATTTGAAGTTGCTTGTGAAAATGATCACCTGGTTAAATTTTTAATAATTGTACACTTTATTATGGGATACTGATAGAATCTTTAGGTGATATTATACAGGCTCAAAAAGTAAAATAACTGATACATCTATTAATTAGAAGATTACTAGCAACACTTATGAGTACATTATGAGGTTGACTCACATATTACTTTCTGATGTGTTTGACATAGTGTAGAGTGGAGCATTCTTTTGAGCATGCTTGTATCACTTCCATTGATTTGGTTGGGACACTTACTCAAGTTCTCCTTAGAGAATTATTCTTCTCCCTGACTGTAGTCAAATTGATGCCAGAACTGCTAACTCATAGAATTTTGAGATCAAGTTGTACATTCCCCCAGTTTCTCACCAGCCAACTCTTAAAAATTTCATGAAAAGTATGTAGTCTTTTGATTTCCTTACAATAGCAATGTTGTACAACCTCTCATCATCATGTCTCGAAATACAAGACATAATGAATTTGGAAATGGTTACTGTTGCATTGCAGCCACTTCAACAATTTGTCATCACAAAGATCTGATTTAATCACCAGAAGTATTTATCATCATTTGCTAGTTACTATTGAAAAACCAAGTTGTACAAAATTATACCAGTATAAGTGTAAAGGAACTTTACTGAAATTCAATATAGAAAAAAACCCCACAATTTCTTAAAATCAAATTACTAGTAGTATTTTTCAGTATACAAAGTGCAAATTTCTCAAATTTTATGTTCTGCACAAAAATACTGGCTCTTCATTCACCTGATCTTATTTAATGACTCTAAAAATTAGAAATAATCACCAGTGGTATTAAGGTTTTCAGATACAGTTCATCTAAAATGCAGACAATCCCAGACAGAACTTTCACACATATATGGGGAATGAAAGAATAAATTCTCAGAGTTTCAACAATTTCAGACATATGATGTATGCCATTAATCAAATTTTGATAAAATGTTGGGAAATCAAATTCATTGCTGAGTCCAACAGTATGGAAAACTAAAATACTTCACACAGGGATGTTTCCTGTAAGGTAGCTTTTTGATGTCATAAAGTCAAAGGGTGGTTCATTTATTCCACGCTTGTAGTACTTACGATGTGTCAGGCACTATTCAAAGTGCCTTACAAATGATAACTCACTTAAAACTCAGAACAACAGAATTATATATGTATGATTTTTATCATTGAAGAAATCAAGGCATAAAGAGCTCGAATCAGCTTTACAAGGACATACAACCAGTAAATTGAATAGCCTGGATTCAAACCCAAGCATGTTGACTTCAAAGTCCACAGACTTAACCATCAAGCTATGGGACACCTCCTAATGAAATGAAACTCAGTGAAGAAATCTTTTTACACAGATGTTCAGGGCTACTTGGTCAAATAAATTTAGTTCAGTACCAATAACATTCTCTGACAACAAAATCAGAGGGAACTGGAGAAATATTTTTAGTTTACCTTATTACTGATAACAGTATTGTGCATGAACAGGCCCATCCATGTGTCCTGGTGATTTTTCTAATAGTGTATCTCATGGATTTTGTATGACTATATGAAATAAAATATGCAAAAAGGAAACTTTTACAGTAGTTGGATGACTTTAGATGTTGATTTTTTTTATTCAGAGAAAAGGAGAACTAAAACCCTAAGTTGGAAGCTGCAATTAATTCCCTAAATACTTCATTTATTGGAAAATCCATTTGTAACTACCACATTATTTAATATTTACAACTATTGAATAACTGCTGCCTCAAAAGTATTAATAGTTCATTAATATTTACTGAACATACACACATTGTTTACAGGGCACTTCCCACTATGATTCTGGAAAAATGTTAGATAAGAGTTTCATTGTGGCATATTTGTATACTTCATTAATAAATATGCATGTTTCAAAGGACAGTAATGTGGATCTAAGCTTTGGAATCATAATTGAATTCAGCAGCTGCCTCTGCTTGTAAATACACAGATGTGTGAATCAAGACAGTGGGCGAAAAATGTTAAATAAGTCTTAATTATTAGGATAATTTTTAGAATTATTTACAACAATTATAATAATTGTTGCTCAACTGTCAAATAGGATTATGGAAATGTCATTAAATTTATTGTTAAGGTTTATATTTTGTTTTAATGGCTCTTGTTTTCTTTTATTTCCAGATCGATATATCATAGTCGGCAGCCACCATCATACTGCATACAGTTATAATGGACAAGAATGGGCCAGTAGCACTGCCGTAATCACAGCTTTCATCCGGGCCTTGATGTTAAGAGTTAAAAGAGGGTGGAGACCAGACCGCACTATTGTTTTCTGTTCATGGGGTGGAACAGCTTTTGGCAATATTGGCTCATATGAATGGGGAGAGGTAAAGATATATTAATTCTTATTTTTATTTTTTCCCCTCTTTTTCTCTCTCTGTCTCTCTCTTTAAGACTAAAGTAGACAAAGTAAAATTGTCGAAGCCAAGGACAAGAATGTACATCTCAATCAGGGTGTCCTATTTGCTAATTTGTTGAGATCGCCCTGTAAGAATGTAGGGGAATGAGAGACCACAGTGAATTGTGTATGATCTTCAACCACCTTATTCTTGGTCATGTGCAACCTCTAGACCCTGGTAGACCAACTACAGTGTTAACCTCGTTTTTATATTTCTCCTTAGGTTGACAGACACTGGACAAGGAAGGATCATGTGATACATATCCCCCTATTTTTTTTTTGAAACTTTCTAGTAATTACCTAGAATCAGGAAAAAATTCCCTCTTAAACATTTACCACCTTAGCATTACACCTTAGATATACAATATAGAGATTGAGCTCAAACTAGTGTTTTACTTCATTCCTCTCTTTGTTTTTCCCTCTAATCTCAAACCCTGATCTCTCTGCTACTTCTTCCCTATCTATGTATCTGCCTATTTACCTACCTGCCTACCTAAGCACCTTAGGAAGCCTTTGTCCCAAAGAAATCAGACATTCAATGGTCATAGAATACTACTGGAGTATTTAATTTTCAAATACTTTTTGATATGTCTGTGTCTCACAGGTACTGTAGTTTTAATGGAATATGAAAACTAGTAATTACACTGATACCATAGTAACAATGACAACATAATAAAATAAAATTAGGTATTCTAACTTTGTGATAAAAAAACAGGTTCAGTGGAAATATACAGGAAAAAACCTACAGAAGTTTTAACTTGGAAAGTAAAACCATTTGATACTGTAGTTTGTTTACTACATCAGCTTTGGAGAAATACAAATCCTAAATATCTAATGGGAAATTCTCATTTCATTTTTTTATCTGAGCAGACACGCATACATACAATTATAATATGTCTGTTGACTATCAAAGAAAATATCTGAAGGGTATACAAAAGAAAATAGCAAGCATCTTTTTTAATTCAAAGGAAATAAAAGTCTTAAAAATGAGAAAAATTGTGCAGTATAAAATTTATCAGAATTCACATGTTGGAAAGTGGAATGTTTTTCCAGAATCAAATCAATGGTGTGAAGGTTTGTTCCTTATTCAAAATGACTAATTCAAATGAAAAAATTCCATTGTGGAAAATCTTTTTAAAATTGATGAATTTTTAGTAAGATGGACAATGTAATCACTAAACCAACCTCTCAAATTTCTATTCAATATTACTTACTTTAAAGATATAAACAAGTTAAAAAAAACAATTTGGTGACTATATTTATGGTCTGGGTTGAATTTTGTACGTCAGAAGTTTTTGTTGTTGTTTTTTGATTTTTTACCATAAAGGAAACAATGTTTTAGTTTTTTTGTAGCAATAAAGCACATTTTAAGAAAATGCCTTAAAGATTCTTTTCAAATTCAAAAAATTTATTCCATTATATCATACTGCCTTCTCCCAATCCATCTAGTAACTTTCACAATCAAATTTTGTTCATCCTAAACTAACATGTATGTTTCTTAGCTATGTTCTCAAAGTAGGCTAGTCTAACATTAGTACCTAACTTAAATATCATGAGCCCTGTGCATGGGGAAGTTAATTGCCAAAGTTCTAGAATTTATTTTAGCATCAGAGTCACAGCCTGTAAGTTGAATGAATAATGTGGTCTTGCATGTATATGAGCAATTAATTATATTTTCAACTTAAATAGATAAACTTGTAAATAAAATGCAAATTTGTTTTTAAGTTTCCTTGATCCTTTGTATTTTTTTGTAATTTTATATGTTCTCCATCATCAGATACTAAAAATACAACTTCTATAATGTTCTAGTCCATAGAAAAAATGTTTGTTAGAGAAAGTTCTTCCTATTCAAAAAGATTAGGGACCTCTGTTCTACAGTATTTATGTATATGTATATATTTGGCAATTAATTATACATTCAGTCACTTTCTGGCTTTTTCTATGATTAGGTGAGTAAAGATATATGAGCAAATAAAATGGTGATATGTAGACTTAATTATTGGCTTATAGAAGGTACTATTGTAAATTACCACATCTCAGAAGATTATTACAGTATAGTTCATGAAACCATTTTGTACCTATCTGGTTAAGGAAGAATTTAGAAAACTGTTAGTTTTCCTGTTGTGTCCACTTCCGAGAATGAAATATTTTCTTACAGGCTGACACCAATTTATGCTCTAAATAAATTCCCTAGTGATGATAAGTGAAGAACCACTTGTTGATATGCCTATTTCCCTATTTAATTTGGTTTGCACCCGGAACTACTTGAAATCTACAGTTGTAATTAAAAGGATTAGACAATTTCTTTTCTCCTAAAATATTTATTAATTAAATGATTGTCTTTTTACCTCCTTACAGAGATCTAGTGAATTTTAAACCTGATATAGGGGTAACATTATTGATTTTCTAGTTATACAAGTTCTTGCAGTCTTTCATCTGATAGTGTTGGAAGAAGAAAGATATATTCCTAAAACATGAAGTAATACCATTTTTAGGACATGTCTGTGGAACATCACCGTGATAACTACTCATTAAATATTTGTGCAAAAAAAGAGGGCAAATAGCAGAACCTCTTCGTGATATCTTATTCATAGGATCAGTTATCTTCAGTTTGTAGGGACAGAGCTCAAAAGAGAAGTGGAAAATTCTTCTATCAAATTATTTTTATGCTACTAATGTGTGTGAACTACATCAGGTTTTATTTCAGGTCATATTTGCAGGTACAACATTATGTTATGTCCCTTTTTGCTCAGAATAAAAAGCCTCTTCATGAAAATTGAGCTCAGTGTCTCAAAGGAAAGGGTTAGTTTTATTAATCACTGAAGTACTTTACCCATGTTCATTCTCTAATTCAATGCCTGTGCAATTGAGTGCTGTCACTACAGCAGATATCCCATTCTGTATTCTGAAGCTGAATCTCATGCTATATATAACCATTTAAAGACAATTTTGTCTTATAATTTGACTTCTGTCAGAACGTGTTTTATCATGTTTACATGTAACTGTTTACCATTCTTATTTAAAAGCCTTTTATGACCTTTGTGTACTCAGAGTACACATTTAAAAAAGTTCTTGTTCAACATAATTATTTTAAGTAGACAATGTTTATTATTCAACAGTAGAACATGTTATTTATGTTAAACATACTGTTTTGAATTTCAGGATTTCAAGAAGGTTCTGCAGAGAAATGTTGTGGCTTATGTTAGTCTCCATAGTCCCATAAGGGGAAACTCAAGTCTGTATTCTGTAGCTTCACCATCTCTTCAGCAACTGATAGTACAGGTAAGATGAATCTCCTTTTTATAAAATGGTTATGCAGAACTGCCTTTTCCTCTGTAATTTGAATTTATTGATATTTTCATTCTTTTTAATATGCATAAAAGTCTTTTATAAGTGTTTTAAGGAATAATCTATTGCTGATGTTTTTATCAATTTCTTATGTTCAACCAATTTCTTATGTTCTGAAATTCTTCACTTGCTACTCTTCTTTGGTGATAGTTGTAGGTATGAATTATACAATTATAGAGAACATATGTAAAAATGTAAGTTTATTTCTTAAAAGTTCAATTCAGGTTTCAAGTTCCCATTTCTGCTAATCTTGACATTTTGTGGTAAACTTTGTTACTTATGGATTTCTCCACAACTCATTCATATTTTGTGTAAATTTGAGAAGTCTTTTGACTACCTGTAAGCCCTCTATAAGCAGGATCTGTGATTCCTAAATATAGTGATTACTAAATTCAAGATATTTATAAAATATTGTTCAAAAAATTTTTTGGAAAGCAAAACATGCGTTTTCCTACAAAGCAACTAAAAAAATTTAGTTTGTGATGTCTCATTACAGATATTTTTAAAAAGTTAGTCATTTCTTGCCTGTTTCTAATAATTTTTCAGAACATCTTTCGTGTCTATTAGTGGGGTTCATGCTTTTATTTCTGCGTTCCTTTTATGACTTTCACTAAACATAAAATGATACCTGTTATTTCTCAGAATGAAATCAATCATGACACCACTCAGGGGTGGTTTCCTTCCAGCCCCCGGGACTATTGCTGTGCATTAGAAATGACCTTTTAGATGCCGACATTTTCCAGAGAGGATCACAGAAACAACCAGAAAAAGATAAAGATAATGAACAGAGTTTTGGGTTAGCCATAATTCTTGATTGAAATGTAATGCAAACTAACATTTTATGACTTTCATAAAGTATTTTCTAGTTCAATAGTTTTCATTGACATTTCCATATGTAGTATAATAAAGAAGACATTATGAAAAATGAAATGGATAAATCTGTACGTTTATTATCAGCTAAACCCAATGTGCATGCCCTAAATTATATCCAGTTCTGTAAGTGAATTCCTCCTACTCTTTGTGCTACTTTGAATTCCCTAACTCTGTTACTTGCCAGGGAAAAACTCAAAAGAGGAAATCAGCTGCAGATGTCTCCCTTGGGAAGCTAAGATATTTCTGAGTAAGTGGGTGATCAGGAAGAGGAAAGGATGAGTTTAAGTATCCAGAAATTGGGGAGAGTTTGTTTAAACAGTGTCTTTTCCTTCTTGTGTGTTACAATTTTCCTATTTTGAGAGTCTTGGAAGATATGTAATGATTGACATCCATAGGTAAATAGAAATAGCAATCTATTAAGGTGTCTCAAGTCTATTGAAATATCTATCTATAGAAATATTAAATCTACAGGAATGTTCTGAGAATGTAATACTACTTGGAATGTCTTTGCACATCTTGTAACAGAGAATTAAAATATTAGTATTTAAACCTAATCCAAAAATACATCATGGTTTCTCATAATGAATAGTGACATGGCAGATGAACTCCCTTATTTGTTTGGGAGAGGAAACTTTTGTCTATAGTTGAAAATACTTAACCTAATAATAAACTGGAATCTGTACTGAAAGAAACTTTCTTTCAGTTGAGATTGTGTGTGTGTGTGTTCTATAGAACAATTTAGAAGGGTAGGATTATCACAAGTTCAAATAAATAATAGCATATGCATTTAAAAAGTGGGAATTATTTTTATATATTCGGTTTTATTAATGAAGAACAAATATCTATGACAATTTAAGATTTATTTGCATACACATTTTAATATCAGAATTTAAAATATATAAGTACCCTAAAAAATATAAAGTTTAAGAGAACTGAAGGATATGACCCCACAGTAAGTCATAATTTAATTTAATTTAATTTAATTTAATTTAATTTAATTTAATTTAATTTAATTTAATTTAATTTAATTTAAATAATTTAGCACTAGTGGAATTTAAAAGGAAGTTTTAAAATGTTTTAAAAAAATAGCTTAATTGTAACATCAGGAAATATGCAACTTCACTTAGAAAGACAAATATATTTGATCAATTTTTAGTATATTTATATTTCATCAGTTTATATAGATTCTGTTACCATATACAATCACATGTCCTATATAATTTTTTTTTATTCAGAGAAAAGGAGAACTAAAACCCTAAGTTGGAAGCTGCAATTAATTCCCTAAATACTTCATTTATTGGAAAATCCATTTGTAACTACCACATTATTTAATATTTACAACTATTGAATAACTGCTGCCTCAAAAGTATTAATAGTTCATTAATATTTACTGAACATACACACATTGTTTACAGGGCACTTCCCACTATGATTCTGGAAAAATGTTAGATAAGAGTTTCATTGTGGCATATTTGTATACTTCATTAATAAATATGCATGTTTCAAAGGACAGTAATGTGGATCTAAGCTTTGGAATCATAATTGAATTCAGCAGCTGCCTCTGCTTGTAAATACACAGATGTGTGAATCAAGACAGTGGGCGAAAAATGTTAAATAAGTCTTAATTATTAGGATAATTTTTAGAATTATTTACAACAATTATAATAATTGTTGCTCAACTGTCAAATAGGATTATGGAAATGTCATTAAATTTATTGTTAAGGTTTATATTTTGTTTTAATGGCTCTTGTTTTCTTTTATTTCCAGATCGATATATCATAGTCGGCAGCCACCATCATACTGCATACAGTTATAATGGACAAGAATGGGCCAGTAGCACTGCCGTAATCACAGCTTTCATCCGGGCCTTGATGTTAAGAGTTAAAAGAGGGTGGAGACCAGACCGCACTATTGTTTTCTGTTCATGGGGTGGAACAGCTTTTGGCAATATTGGCTCATATGAATGGGGAGAGGTAAAGATATATTAATTCTTATTTTTATTTTTTCCCCTCTTTTTCTCTCTCTGTCTCTCTCTTTAAGACTAAAGTAGACAAAGTAAAATTGTCGAAGCCAAGGACAAGAATGTACATCTCAATCAGGGTGTCCTATTTGCTAATTTGTTGAGATCGCCCTGTAAGAATGTAGGGGAATGAGAGACCACAGTGAATTGTGTATGATCTTCAACCACCTTATTCTTGGTCATGTGCAACCTCTAGACCCTGGTAGACCAACTACAGTGTTAACCTCGTTTTTATATTTCTCCTTAGGTTGACAGACACTGGACAAGGAAGGATCATGTGATACATATCCCCCTATTTTTTTTTTGAAACTTTCTAGTAATTACCTAGAATCAGGAAAAAATTCCCTCTTAAACATTTACCACCTTAGCATTACACCTTAGATATACAATATAGAGATTGAGCTCAAACTAGTGTTTTACTTCATTCCTCTCTTTGTTTTTCCCTCTAATCTCAAACCCTGATCTCTCTGCTACTTCTTCCCTATCTATGTATCTGCCTATTTACCTACCTGCCTACCTAAGCACCTTAGGAAGCCTTTGTCCCAAAGAAATCAGACATTCAATGGTCATAGAATACTACTGGAGTATTTAATTTTCAAATACTTTTTGATATGTCTGTGTCTCACAGGTACTGTAGTTTTAATGGAATATGAAAACTAGTAATTACACTGATACCATAGTAACAATGACAACATAATAAAATAAAATTAGGTATTCTAACTTTGTGATAAAAAAACAGGTTCAGTGGAAATATACAGGAAAAAACCTACAGAAGTTTTAACTTGGAAAGTAAAACCATTTGATACTGTAGTTTGTTTACTACATCAGCTTTGGAGAAATACAAATCCTAAATATCTAATGGGAAATTCTCATTTCATTTTTTTATCTGAGCAGACACGCATACATACAATTATAATATGTCTGTTGACTATCAAAGAAAATATCTGAAGGGTATACAAAAGAAAATAGCAAGCATCTTTTTTAATTCAAAGGAAATAAAAGTCTTAAAAATGAGAAAAATTGTGCAGTATAAAATTTATCAGAATTCACATGTTGGAAAGTGGAATGTTTTTCCAGAATCAAATCAATGGTGTGAAGGTTTGTTCCTTATTCAAAATGACTAATTCAAATGAAAAAATTCCATTGTGGAAAATCTTTTTAAAATTGATGAATTTTTAGTAAGATGGACAATGTAATCACTAAACCAACCTCTCAAATTTCTATTCAATATTACTTACTTTAAAGATATAAACAAGTTAAAAAAAACAATTTGGTGACTATATTTATGGTCTGGGTTGAATTTTGTACGTCAGAAGTTTTTGTTGTTGTTTTTTGATTTTTTACCATAAAGGAAACAATGTTTTAGTTTTTTTGTAGCAATAAAGCACATTTTAAGAAAATGCCTTAAAGATTCTTTTCAAATTCAAAAAATTTATTCCATTATATCATACTGCCTTCTCCCAATCCATCTAGTAACTTTCACAATCAAATTTTGTTCATCCTAAACTAACATGTATGTTTCTTAGCTATGTTCTCAAAGTAGGCTAGTCTAACATTAGTACCTAACTTAAATATCATGAGCCCTGTGCATGGGGAAGTTAATTGCCAAAGTTCTAGAATTTATTTTAGCATCAGAGTCACAGCCTGTAAGTTGAATGAATAATGTGGTCTTGCATGTATATGAGCAATTAATTATATTTTCAACTTAAATAGATAAACTTGTAAATAAAATGCAAATTTGTTTTTAAGTTTCCTTGATCCTTTGTATTTTTTTGTAATTTTATATGTTCTCCATCATCAGATACTAAAAATACAACTTCTATAATGTTCTAGTCCATAGAAAAAATGTTTGTTAGAGAAAGTTCTTCCTATTCAAAAAGATTAGGGACCTCTGTTCTACAGTATTTATGTATATGTATATATTTGGCAATTAATTATACATTCAGTCACTTTCTGGCTTTTTCTATGATTAGGTGAGTAAAGATATATGAGCAAATAAAATGGTGATATGTAGACTTAATTATTGGCTTATAGAAGGTAC